ATCAGCCAGTCAAGGCTCCAACACCTCTGCTGAGGGGAGTTGTCGCTCGTTGGCATCTTCCGCTCGTTCAGATGCTCCTTCTCCTGCTACTCCTCTTCACGGATTCCATCAGCAGTCTTTCTTGGAATCCGTTTCCAAGAGACAACAGTTTGCGAGCACGCACCCGACGGTGCAAAAGCTGAACGTCCTCCTGTCCAAGTTGCTGGTGCTGCAGTCCCTCCCTTTCCAAGTGGTGGACTCAGCACCTTTCCGAGAAATGATGGCTTGTGCCGAGCCGCGGTGGAGAGTGCCAAGCCGGCATTTCTTCGCCAAAAAGGCAGTGCCAGCCCTGCATTCACATGTAGAAGAGATGGTGGGCCAGTCTTTGAGCATGTCGGTCTCTGCCAAAGTGCACAGCAGCGCCGACGTGTGGAGCTGTAACTACGGTCAGGGACAGTACATGTCATTTACGGGCCCACTGGGTGAACGTGGTGCCGGCACAGCCGCACCAGCAACTTGGACAGGTCACGCCGCTTTTGCCTCCACGTTTGCACGTCCTTGGTCCAGCAAAGATGTCCGCCTCTACCACCTCTTCTTCCGCCGTGTCCTCAGCCGCCACCCCCGTGCCAAGTCCCATTACCCGACCGGCATATCACATGTGCAGGGCGCAACGGTGTCACGCTGTGCTGCACCTGGTATGCCTTGGCGAACGTAGTCACACAGGGGAGGAACTTCTGAGTGTAATGAACAGAGAAATCGACAGATGGCTGTCTCCGCGCAAACTGAAAATCGGAACCATGTTGACCGACAACGGAAAGAACATGGTGTCTGCTCTGCGTCAAGGAAGGTTGTGCCATGCGCCATGCATGGTTCACGTGTTCAATCTGGTTGTCAAGCGGTTCCTAAAAATCCACCATCCCACTGCAAGACATCCTTAAAATGTCACGTAAACTTTGCATGCATTTCAGCCATTCCTACACCGCAAAGCACACCCTCCTTGAGCTGCAGCGGCAGAACGGAATTCCACAGCATCGCCTGATCTGCGACGTTGCAACAAGGTGGAATTCAACCCTACATATGTTAGACCGCCTTTACGAACAGCGAAAGGCCATCACCGATTTCCTGATGTTACAAGCGGATAAAGGTACTCCCCTGTGTAACTTAGATGTCAGCCATTGGCAGCTCATGCGTGACACCTGCCGCTTGCTCAGGCCCTTTGAGGAGGCCACGCTATTCGTGAGTCGGCAGGACTATGGGATGAACGACGTCATTCCTCTGTTGCACGTCCTGGAACAAATGCTGTTAACAATGGCTGGTCAGGGTGCGGTAGACGTGGCGCACAGATCTCAACGCCACATGACCCCTGTGGGGGCAGGACAGGAAGAAGAGGAGGAGGTAGAGGAGGACATTGGTGCTCAGGAATTATTGAGTGAAATGGGTGGTTTTTCCACTCAGCGGACAGGAGTGGAGGAGCAGGAGCATCTGGTAGAGGAGGAGGAGGAGGAGACAGAGGACCCAGACGCACCGTGGCAGTATGCTGTGGAGATGGAGGCAGGGAGTCCCTCGCATTCCTTGGCACAAATGGCCCATAGCATGCTCGGTTGCTTGCGTAGCGACAGCCGAATAATAACCATCAGACAGAGGGATGACTTTTGGCTGTCCACCTTGTTGGACCCTCGCTACCGTTCAAAATGGTGGCCTTTTTCACACCTGCTGAGAGGGAGGCCAAAATAAAGTACTATAAAAAACCACCTATGTAGTCAGTTGGTCTCTGCCTTTCTGCGCCAACGTCCATCCTCAGACACTGTGGGCCCTGTGCGCTCGCGTTCCGCTGCCATGGCAGCAGGGGGAGGGGGGGGTGGTAGGAGCAGTGGCAGCTCCACCAGCAGCGGCTGCCTCAGTCTGCAGTCGATGATGAGTAGCTTTCTTCACCAGCGCAGTGAGGAAACTACTAACCAGCCGCAGCAGCAGCAGCATCAGGTGGACCTGGAGCAGGACCTCAAACAACAGGCTCGGGCCTACTTGGACAGCACCCTGCCAACCGAGGTAGACAATCCCCTTGACTACTGGGCAACGAAACTTGACCTTTGGCCCCAACTAGCTGAATTTGCCCTTGAAAGGCTGTCATGCCCGGCCAGTAGCGTGGCATCGGAGCGCGTGTTTAGTGCGGCAGGAGGTATTGTAACTCCGCGGAGGACACGACTGTCCACCCAAAGTGTGGAGAGACTCACGTTTGTGAAAATGAATCAGGCGTGGATTAGTCTGGATTTCAAACCACCAGTTCCTGACACAACTGACTAAATCCGCCATGAATCATGCCCCAAACATGTTATTATTTTTAACATAGGCCTCTGTATGGCCTTCAATTTAAGCTGCTTACGCTTCGCCACTCTGCCATGGGCCCCTGTACCGCCTCCTCTTGCTGCTGCCAGGTCCCAGAGTGTGTCATGGGTCCCTGTACGGCCTCCCATTGCTGCTGACTTCATCGCCAGACTCTGCCATGTGCCACTTTCAGGTCTCCTTACACTGTTGGTGGGTTCCATTTTGTGATAGGGTGCTGTATGGCCTTCCATTGCTGCTGCCTCCACTGCCACCCTGCGCCATGTGCCTCTGTCGTCTGCTCACGCTGCTGACGGCTTCCGCTTTTTAACCGAGGCCTGTGTTTGGCTTCCGAATACTGCTGCATCCACCGCCACCCTGCGCCATGTGTCTCTGTCGTCTGCTCACGCTGCTGACGGCTTCCGCTTTTTAACCTAGGCCTGTGTATGGCTTCCGAATACTGCTGCCTACACCGCCACCCTGCGCCATGTGCCTCTGTCGTCTGCTCACGCTGCTGCCAGGTCCATACTGATTCATGGCCCCCTGTACCGGCTCCTCATGAACGTGGTTCAGCGGGTTTGCATCACTTAACAGCAAATCGTTGACAAACGCTGGGACGTTCAGTGTTGTGCGCATTAAGCCAGACACCAAAGGGCAGCACAGACCTGTTATTACTCGCTCAAGCATGGCTGAACAAAACCAGTCTCTACCACAAATTGGACCCAGACCTGCCCAGGGTCTCGTAAGTAGATTGCACGGAGGAGTAGAGTTCGTTATTGGAATTAACTGTGAGGGACTTTTAAACCTAGGCCTGTGTATGGCCTTCAATTGAAGCTGCTTCTGCTCCGCCACTCTGCCATTGGACTCTTGATAGTCGATGACTATCAAGAGTCCAATGGCAGAGTGGCGGAGCAGAAAGCAGCTTCAATTGAAGGCCATACACAGGCCTAGGTTTAAAAGTCCCTCACAGTTAATTCCAATAACGAACTCTACTCCTCCGTGCAATCTACTTACGAGACCCTGGGCAGGTCTGGGTCCAATTTGTGGTAGAGACTGGTTTTGTTCAGCCATGCTTGAGCGAGTAATAACAGGTCTGTGCTGCCCTTTGGTGTCTGGCTTAATGCGCACAACACTGAACGTCCCAGCGTTTGTCAACGATTTGCCGTTAAGTGATGCAAACCCGCTGAACCACGTTCATGAGGAGCCGGTACAGGGGGCCATGAATCAGTATGGACCTGGCAGCAGCGTGAGCAGACGACAGAGGCACATGGCGCAGGGTGGCGGTGTAGGCAGCATTATTCTGAAGCCATACACAGGCCTAGGTTAAAAAGCGGAAGCCGTCAGCAGCGTGAGCAGACGACAGAGGCACATGGCGCAGGGTGGCGGTGGAGGCAGCAGCAATGGAAGGCCATACAGCACCCTATCACAAAAATGGATTTCACCAACAGTGTAAGGAGACCTGAAAGTGGCACATGGCAGAGTTGGCGATGAAGTCAGCAGCAATGGGAGGCCGTACAGGGACCCATGACACACTCTGGACCTGGCAGCAGCAAGAGGAGGCGGTACAGGGGCCCATGGCAGAGTGGCGAAGCGTAAGCTGCTTAAATTGAAGGCCATACAGAGGCCTATGTTAAAAAGTCCCCCCAGCAGCAGCGTGGGGAGACGACTATTAGTCATCACCCCACGCTGCTGCTGGGGGGACTTTTTAACATAGGCCTCTGTATGGCCTTCAATTTTAGCTGCTTACGCTCCGCCACTCTGCCATGGGCCCCTGTACCGCCTCCTCATGCTGCTGCCAGGCCGTAATCTGCCATGGGCCCCCGTACCGACTCCTCATGCTGCTGCCAGGCCCGTAATCTGTCATGGGCCCCTGTACCGCCTCCTACGCCTCCTCATGCTGCTGCCAGGTCCAGAGTGTGTCATGGGTCCCTGTACGGCCTCCCATTGCTGCTGTCTCCATCGCCACACTCTGCCATGTGCCACTTTCAGGTCTCCTCACACTGCTGGTGGGTTCCATTTTGTCATAGGGTGCTGTATGGCCTCCCATTGCTGCTGCCTCCACCGCCACCCTGCGCCATGTGCCTGTCGTCTGCTCACGCTGCTGATGGCTTCCGCTTTTTAACCGAGGCCTGTGTTTGGCTTCCGAATACTGCTGCATCCACCGCCACCCTGCGCCATGTGCCTCTGTCGTCTGCTCACGCTGCTGACGGCTTCCGCTTTTTAACCTAGTCCTGTGTATGTCTTCCGAATACTGCTGCCTCCACCGCCACCCTGTGCGCCATGTGCCACTTTCAGGTCTCCTTACACTGTTGGTGGGTTCCATTTTGTGATAGGGTGCTGTATGGCCTTCCATTGCTGCTGCCTCCACCGCCACCCTGCGCCATGTGCCTCTGTCGTCTGCTCACGCTGCTGACGGCTTCCGCTTTTTAAACCGAGGCCTGTGTTTGGCTTCCGAATACTGCTGCATCCACCGCCACCAACACCCCACACGCTGCTGACGGCTTCCGCTTTTTAACCTAGGCCATGTGTATGGCTTCCGTACTGCTGCCTCCACCGCCACCTTGCGCCATGTGTCTCTGTCGTCTGCTCACGCTGCTGACGGCTTCCGCTTTTTAACCTAGGCCTGTGTATGGCTTCCGAATACTGCTGCCTCCACCGCCACCCTGCGCCATGTGTCTCTGTCGTCTGCTCACGCTGCTGACGGCTTCCGCTTTTTAAACCTAGGCCTGTGTATGGCCTTCCATTGCTGCTGCCTCCACCGCCACCCTGCGCCATGTGCCTCTGTCGTCTGCTCACGCTGCTGACGGCTTCCGCTTTTTAACCGAGGCCTGTGTTTGGCTTCCGAATACTGCTGCATCCACCGCCCGCCCACTGCTGCTGCCAGGCCCGTAATCTGTCATGGGCCCCTGTACCGCCTCCTCCTGCTGCTGCCAGGTCCAGAGTGTGTCATGGGTCCCTGTACGGCCTCCCATTGCTGCTGTCTCCATCGCCACACTCTGCCATGTGCCACTTTCAGGTCTCCTCACACTGCTGGTGGGTTCCATTTTGTCATAGGGTGCTGTATGGTCTCCCATTGCTGCTGCCTCCACCGCCACACTGTGGCTCCACACTCTGGTTTTGGCCCCGTGACTGCCCAAATGAGTGAAGTGTGCGGTGATTCTAAGATCGACGGCACTCATCTGCATGTCATACTGACTGACAGTATTAGTTCTCTTCCCCAGCAGACTCCAAGGGCATTTAAATTAAAGGTACAGTGTTCTGCACTAATATAAAGGCTCTCTGAAGCCTAGAAACACCCTTTTTATAAGTTAAATTCGCAGCGAATATATTCGCCTTGAATCGAATTTATTCCGCGAATTCGGCGAATCAGCCGAATCGAATTTTTGAATAATTCGCTCATCTCTAACAGTAACAATACAGTACATTGACTAACCTTTAAAGTATGGCCACCTATGTCCTGCAGGACCAAGGAGCATAAACAATAGCTCTCAGACTGGGAGAGCCCAAGTGAGACATGAAAATGGCTAGCTCACTTGTAGGCTCTCAGAGGCGAGAGTCTAGGTTTAAGCCTGAAAATGTATTAGACCACCTAAAAAAAAACGGTATTACTAATAGGATAAACCCTGAGTATGAAGCAGTCTAAAACCTGGTTCTGCCAGCGTAGTTGGGGCCCCTAAATTGGTGTGCAATGCAAGTGTTGTCCCTTTAAAATGTGGATTGAACATGGTAATTCCCTTTTAAGAGGCAAAGTTGTTGGCACAGATCACTTTAAGAGATGAGGTTGTTGGTACAGTTCATTTCAGAATAGGGAACTGCAGGCAAAAGTTACCTTAACACATAGAGTTTTTGGCAAAAATCACTTTAGGAAAGTGTATTTGTGGGCATGGTTCATTTTCAGAGGTATACTTGGTCTTAAACAGCAGCAAAGTGCCTTCTTTAGATGGCCTGGGCTGAAGTGGATGAAGCCACATAGAAAAGATTCTGCTTAGCAGGGAGCAAGGGATAATTCAGTTCAGCAACTTGCAGGTAGTGATCAGGATAGCCGATTTGGGATGGTACTTTGCAGCAATAAAGGGCACTGAGATATTTATTTCTGATAAAGGACAATGCTGAAGAATGTTTATAACCTTGAAAAACCTTGCTGGCAACAACTAGCTGTAACAGGTAATAACGATGCGACCCTCTCACCCTGGCCTTATGCAACAATCAAAGGAGTGATGGGTGTCTCCTTTAAATGAAGATACGGCTGTGATGGCGGTGACTGTCACACTCCTGCAGCTGAAAGGTCTCCCAGGAACAGCCTTCTCCACTCAATGTTTGGCTTAACAGTCTTCTCTTAAGCTTCCCCAGCTATTGTGTACTCTCCCGCCACATCTGGTCTGGTCCAAAACAGCATGGCTCAGCGCAAACTCTCAAAACACTCCTTCCACTTGCAAAGTCTCTCTCCATCTCACCCTGTATCTGTAAGGGAATTCCTGTGAGACGGCTGGCGAATAGACGTGCGCATGCGCACAGAAATGCGCGATCGCGCAGATGCACAGTGAAGATTGGCGCCAGACGGACTATTTAAAAGGTGCCTCTGCCTGTGCTGAGTGCTGACTGGTCTTCAGCTGTTCCCTGTTTCCTACTCGTTTCCTGTGTGATTTCCTTGTTGCTGACCCGGCTTCTTCCTGACCTGACTCTGATTACTCTCCTGCTTGATACTGGCTCCTGACTTTGGCTCTGCTCCTGACTTTGGCTTGCTTATGATTTGGTAGCTTGCTGTCTGCCCGTTGAAGACCCTGGTTATTCCTTTGACACTGCTCCTGTCTCCCATCCCAGCTTCCTGCCTTGCTCTGGTACACACCTGGCGATCTACCATACCAGCTCTGCATATTACTACTGTGCCTGAATCGGAGGTTCATCAGTCTTCCAAGGTCACCAACCGCAAGAGCTGCAAACAACATCTACTGGCGCTCTTGTCCCCTTGGTCCCTAGACACCCTCTGTTCCACCTCCAGTGGGGTCCGGGCTAGTGACACAAGTGAGGCTGACCTCGTCATTTCAGTCTCCTATCAGGTACGTGACAGTATCTTCCTGGGCCTGTCCTGTTATATTCTTATGCCTCTAGATGATTGCTCATGGGCTCTGTAGTTTAACTTCAACTTTACTGTGTGGAAAGTTCAGCTTTCAGCCTACAATTCCCAGAAGTCTCTGTATACCTCTACTAAGGCTATGGCAAGTAAAACTGCTAAATACTGCCATCTTGTGGATAAATAAAGTTCTGCAGTCTCAGTAACAATGCATTGTGTTACACTTAGGAATTCTGTATGTGAGTAGCTCCTAAATTGTTAGCTTGTCTTTATTAAATAAAAATTCCAGTTAAAGATATTTTTACATAATCACATTGGTCCAGCTTGGATCAATGTAACTATGCATATACTATATACTATACCTGTAGGATCCCTCTAGAAGCTGGAAATCACTGTACTAGACACTGCTACTGAAGTGATCACACTAGCTTCTGTGCCCCATGCTGAGTGGCTGTCCTGATGCATTCTGAACACAGGGGGTCAGTCACTTGGCATGGGTGCCATTCAGAGCTTGCTTTGCATTTTTTTTTAGCTAATGCTAAGTGCTAGGTTCTCTGATTGGATGAGGTGGAGGACAGGGCAGTGACCAGGGGCGGACTGACCATTTGGAAACTCGGGCACTGCCTGAGGGCCCGGGGTCAGTAGGGGGCCCCAGATTGAAGGTTAGTCAGGTGTAAATGGACAGTCCATCTACATCTGGCCACGCACAGACCCAGCAGGGTCTGTCTGTGTCCGCTCTGCATAAATTGAGTGGACATGGAAGTGTCATCTGCCCGCTCTGCTGTGATCAGCAAGGGAGCTGCTCACATTGGGATGGAGTCTGCCCCATCTGAAAGGGGCCTAAGGCCTCATTCACATGACCGTAACACATACGTAAAAAATGTACTGATCATTAGGGTGAGGAAAAAAAGTTACCGCATAATGATTAGTAAATAGAAATCCAGTTTTTAATGCGTAAAAATTGTCCTGTTCTTTTTTTCAGTGTTATACGCATGTACTCAGATTTTTGGATTTTGTGTTACGGATCTGAAGGCAATACATTTTTTCGTGCCTGTGTGAATTCCTCCATTGAAAATAATGCAGCTGCATTATATATACAGCAGGGGCGGACTGACCATTTGGAAACTCGGGCACTGCCCGAGGGCCTGGGGTCAGTAGGGGGCCCCATGAGATGCCCCTGGTACCTTTTTCATAGGCTTTTTTAGTTTGGGCAAGGACACAGGGGCCCCATGATCCCCTATTGCCCGGGGGCCCCATGAGTTGTCAGTCCGCCCCTGGCAGTGACATCACACTCTCCACCACATCCAATCATACACCTCATCCAATTCGTATAGAAAATGCAAAGCATTCTCTCAATGGTGTCTGTGCCCAGTGGCCAACTTTGTGTTCACAATGCAGCAGGGCAGCCACTCAGCATGGAAGCTAGTAAAGATAATTGTAGTAGAGCTGTCTACTACAGTGGTTTCCAGCTTCTAGAGGGATCCCACCGGTGTATATGCATAGTTATATTGGTCCAGTTTTTTAAAACTCAGATTTTACTTATTTAAAATTTTCATCACAAAAACAAAGTACTTCCAGTCTCAAAATAAATTAGGCAATTACAGCTACACGCAGGCAGATAAATGTACACATAATAAATATCACATTGTAACTCAATAATTTGAATATTCCACTTTATGTAGACCAGCCATCTAATAGCGCTGAAGGGTGCACTTTTCATTTTTCCTACATCTGACCTGCTTTGCATGCAATCTAAATGTATCTACTTGCTGCATCTAAAGAAATGCAACTCCACATTGCAGAATATGCTTCCCATGCAACAACCATGGAGAAGCAGTGTATGAATGGCATAAAGTTTTGCCAAGCACACCCTACTGGTCCTAATGCACAAGCCTCAACATATTTTTTTAAAGGAATTCCCTGGAATTAATAAAGACATATTTTGCAAAAGTGTTTCTCATGCACTCTAAAAGTGGTGCAGACTATGCCAAGTTCACATACTTGCCTAAAATTTGTACTTAAATTTGGCGCATGCTGCCCTAAATTTAGAATGCATGCGAGGCACTTTAGCAAACTTTGTCTGTGCCAATTCCTCTCTCAGTACGTAAAAAGACAGTTGGTCTTAATTAGCTCCACTTTCATAAGAGATATAAATTGTCCAGTATTTTATTTTAATTTGGCACATTCTCTGCGCCACAATGTAAAAGTGGCACATTTTTAACTACCTGCATTTGGTGCACAAGTTGCTGTCAGAACCATAAGTGATGCAAAATGCTTCATGAATGTGGTGCAATACATTAAAAAGCGGGATTAATACCAAAAAAGTGGCGCAGCAGCGTTATCTAATTCCCCCCATTTTGCTACTTTTTTGCAAAGTTAAAGGTACAAAGAGTTATACAGTATGTCATGGGCACATCCAACAGCTTACTTGCAACTTGGTCCAATCTTGTAAGAGCAATACAAAGATATAAAGAAAAAAAAAAACAGGTTATGTCCGCTGTTTATGCTAATAATGCCCAGTATGAACCCAGAGGTAGATTATTAGCTAATGGACACCCTCCCTCTGAGGTTCAAAGGGTTCTGTAGTGTCCTGGATATTTACCAATCCAGACTCACTCTTTTCCAGGTTAATGGTATCAGCTTTTTAGCAAAAATTAAAAAAAACATTAAAGGACTTTCAGTGCTGATGACAGATGGAAGTTCCTGGTGTGCCCCTGAATACACCAAAGTGGGCTAAAGATATTGGGAGTGCCAGCGTTTTCACTGATAAAGTCATGTGATCAGTAGGTTCTAATCACAGGACAGTGCCAGACCATATAGAGGAAACCTGCTCTTTCACTAGAGTACCTAAAGCAGTAGGATTACGGGATTTGTTCCATATAATAAAGTCACTGAGGTGTAAAGCATACTC